TCCCCGCACCGCCTCCCCAGGGGCCGCCGTGGCCAAGCCGGGCCGCGCAGTGGCACAGGCGTCGCCCGAAGGCAGGAGAGGCAGGTCCACCTTCCCCGCTGCTCTGAGGATACAAGGGGTCAGGTTCAAGGACCAACCGAGATGCGCAGAAGCAGTCGGCACCCCGAGCACGGAAACACCTGCAAACCCGCGCGCTTGGGCCCTGCAGCGCAAGCGGGAACCGCTTTTTAGCCTTCAAAACTGGCCAAGGGCTTTTCACCTTTCAGAGAGGAGCTGTGACCCTCAGGCCAGGGCCTGCCAGGGTTTGAAACCAAGCGGCAAAGAGTCGAGAAATTGCATCCTTTTCAGCTGATCCCAAGTTGTGCTCAGCAGAGCGGGTGAAGCCTGGTGTCCTGGGGTCTTGAGCTTCGGGGCTGAATGCCGCGGGCTGGCAGGAGCGGGGCAGCGTGGCCCGCGCGCCTCTGCAGCTCACCCGCTTTCCCTTGCTTGGTGACTAGCCAGTGGGAGCAAGCGAGAAAACTGATCACCCTCCTCTGCCTCATCTCCTCCACGCACGACCTGCCAAGGACACTTAGGGAACTGACCTTCTTCGGTCCTTCCTGGAGAAACGTCTGGACTCAGACATCTCAAGCCAGGCCTGAGCAGTGGCGAGAAGCGCAGGAGCGGGTAGGTATCATGCCATCCTAAACCTCGCAGCAGCTTTGCACAGGCCAAATCCAGACCCCTGAGTTAGGCATCTTCTCTCCTCTCCTCCACTTCTGCTGGGTCAACTATTTTGTCTGTGTTGCAGAGCTTGTGGCGATCTCTAATCTCACAGTGAACAAATGGTGCCAGGCACTGACTAAACATTGGAATGACTCATCAGCATCAAGGGATAGGATCCTCACTGCAGCTGCACATTAGACGACTTTTCCTATTTCTCCTAAAAGATGAAACAAATTACCCAAAGATAGCACAGGAGGACTTCAGCATTCAAGAACAGAAGCAGAATCTCCCAAATCCTAGCAGATAGCTTTCAAGCACTATTGCATTTTGTTTCTTCCTACCTGCTTTACAAGCAGCAAAATCCTCTGGGCCCCGGACCACAACACACCTCCTTCGAACACCTTCCTCGGCCAACAAATCTGAATTGCTGCTCGGGGCGCCTTCTCCAACAAAGCTGTCACGGCGGAGACAGAAACCAATCGCCTGCAAACGCTTCCATCTCTGTATAACCACTTTTAAAGCTCCTGCTAGAAGGACTGTGCACGGGGGCACAACCTGGGCAAGCCAGCCCTGGCAGGCCCCTCTTCTCCCTGCTGCCAGCGCTGGCTCCTGCTGCCACCTCGTGTCAGACAAGCACCCAGCCCGCACTCATTCCTAAAGCAGCCTGCCAACATCCTCTGCTCCTTGCCTCTGTTGCACACCCAAAGTCGTGAACCCTGAGGCAGCGTCATTCTGCAGAGAGGCTCCCTGCAAAGCCATTCACCTCCCCGACCCTAGGGACCTGCTGTCCCACCAGCGTCCCCACTCGTAGGCTGTTACTTGTCCCAACTGGATCCCAACTCGGGCAGCATCACCCCAGCACATCGTCTGAGCAAGAAGGGCAGAGGGGAGCTCACAGGCTCTGCTCCAGCAAACCCACTTCTCTTCCTGCCCAGTAACGACCCTCGGAGGTACGGTGACAAGAGCAATGGCCAAGCAACAAACCCACCTGCACAGGCTCCTGCTCCGGGCTCCTCCACAGCCACCCTCGCCCCCCGCAAAGCCTCTTTTATGGGGGAAGCGACGACAGGGAGATTCTTCTGCTCCCCGTTTGCTTAGTCACAGACCTGGAAGCCCAAAGTCAATCATTAGGAGAAGGCACTTGCCAAGTGCCTTGAACAAGAGAAAGCAGTGATTCTTCCCCCCTTCCCGCACCTTTAAAACCAAATAGGCTTAACATACACTGAAAGGTGCCTTAATAAATCTCAGAGCAGGCTGACGCATCACAGCCCCCAGGCAGAGGCTCTCTGCAGACACCCCAGGGTCTCACAACCAGGTAAGGTTCATTACCAACCCCTGGTCAGACCCTGAATGGTTTTTTCCTGCACAAATTGATGGAAGTCACTCAAAGCCACCTTCTTCCCCTTCCTGAACATTGCACAGTCAGACAAAGCTGGAGGTGCATGGACTGACTGATCAAACACAAGAGTGAAGCTCAAGCTGGTGCAGGAAGCCCATTGGCACCGCTCACCACTTGGAGGAACAAGGGGGAGAACCAGTCCCCAGGGTAACTAACTTCTTTAAATAATGACGTACAAACAGGAAGGTTACCTTCCAAGAGCATAGCCCCCGCTCCCTAATGCGTTAGCTGGATTTCAGCCCTGAGAGGATGAGGATAGCCAAGACTGCGACATGCTGCAGAGGAGACAAGTCCAGATCCCCTGACACTTGCTCACACTGGGGCATTGTGGAAAGTTTAGGAGTAGCTCCTTGTTGGGTAATTTGGTGTTCCTGTCACAGGACTGCAGTCACACCAAACTTCAATGGTATTTCAGTGTCACCACTTCCAAAAGCGTTATGGCAGTTTTCAAACTTCTTGCACTTAGAAGCTAGAGGCCCCAAAAGCACGCAAACTCACCCAAATAGCAGGGCTACGCACGTACGTGTTGTTGCAATAAATGAGACACGTTCAACTGAGAATTCAGAGTTTATTTGCATCCACGCTTGGAGTTTCTCTGCAGGTTTCTAACACACATTCACAAGCATTCCTGTCGCTTTCCCCAGAGAAAATGGTTAAACAGCATATTCTAGGTCAAACAGGTTTTATGAAGGCGAGGTGCTCATACCAACCATACGACTGTCCTCACACACTGCACTGGACAGAAAAAGGCATGAACTTATGCACGGAAGATGTGCCGTGGCTTCCCTGCATTCTTTTCCACTTTAATACTTAAAATGTAATCGGTAACTAAAGTAGCTTAATGCAGCCCATGCTTAGAGAGATTCAACTTGAAAGACTCAGCTCCCTTACAGGGCGACCTGCCTCTGCAAAGAAGAACTAAGCCATCTGCAGAAAGAAGATAGCTGTAAGTCACACAGCGTGGTCCAATCTGGGACTTTCCATGAGGAGACGAGTCCTAGAGAGGAAGCACTTTTTTTTTTTTTTGGGGGGGGGGAAGTATCAAAAGGATGACAAGTTTTCCCCTCTCCCCCAGCTTTAAAGGTGAGAACGGTGGAAGGCTGTTGCTAACTGCATCGGTACACAGATTTCTTGGTAACTCAATCTCCCTCTGCAGCAAAAAGCCACATAAGCAGAGAAAAAGAAATGCAGATAAACACATGCTTCCAGATAATCCTTGGAAGTAAAATATTCAAACACTGGGAAGACCTTTGAACCTGAGTGATCCATCAAACAAGTATTTACAAAAATAATCAACGAGAACTTCTTTTCCCTTATAAACCACAAAGTCAGACCATCACACAGTTATTTAGAGCGTTAACATCTCTCTCCTGCAGCGAGGCACTCAAAGACAATTTGCAAGGAAGGATGAGGGTGGACAGGCAGAAAACAGAATAGACCAACTTGCTCCTTTAAAAGACAGAAGGTGTCGGTTTTCAGGCATTAAAAACAAAGCATATAGATCTGTTGTGTGTGTGGATTTTTTTTTTTTCCCCAAAGCAGAGAGGACCGAATTCAAAGAGGGAGTAGAGAGATTAAGAGATGGGAACAACATGCACTGAGACAAGAAGCTAACCCTCTTACGAGGGATCCTAAGCCTTTCCTCTGATAACGGGCAAAACTGCCAGTTCAAAAGGTTTAAGTCTACGTACAGGGACCACTCAAGCTTTCTAGAAAGCAAACAGGACCGGCAGGAAAAGGCGTAAGACCTCCTAAGATGGCAGAGGGCTAGATCACTTCAGAAAGAGCACATCAGCACACTGTTACAGCAACAGCAAGGGCTAGATTTCAGGGCAGAAGGAAAAATGAGAGACTAGGTTCAATGCTGACAAAGTGGCAATCTAGACCCGAGTCAGGTTAAATCAGGCAGGTGCTAGGTCCTTCTAACTAATGTACACCTGTCCCAATCCACCAGCTCCCTAGCTTTCGGGATCCAGTGAGTACAGGTTATCAGTTTTCCTAAAAAGCAGTTAAGGATTTTCGAGACATAAACATCTGGCTTCAGTACTGCCAATTGCTTTTGGCTTACAACCAGGACGGGGTTTGAAGTGAGATCAGACGATAACTCAGCTAGGAGCTCCTGAGCATAGCTCAGGGGACACCTGAACAACCCTGTGCCCACTGGTGCTGCGGTTCAACAGTTACCAGCAAAATACAATCCCGTAAAAGCAAGTGTGAACACAGCAACAACATTCAAAAAGCCCTGATGTAGCTCCTGGCAGGTCTGACGAAGCAGTTTGAAGGGGACAGAAGAGCAATGCTTTTTGTATTTTTAACACTGGATCCCAGTATGAACAGCATGGTCCAGTCCTGGCTCAGAACAAGGTGGCACATAGGCATTTTTGCAAGGACTTCACATGCTTCGGTCAAGCTGTTCAATAATGCTTAAAAATACAGTAACACGTTACCACCCCAGGCCTAGGAGCCACATTGTGATCACAGAGCACAGCTGTGACTTGTTTGTGGTACTTTGAAAATGCAGTAAAACTATCAATAGCCAAAAGAGCAGTTCTAGCCCATGTGTATTGCTCATGGGATTTAGCTTAAAGGTTTAATTAGTGCTGGATACCAGAGAAGACCCAACCGCTCTCAGGTTTGGGCTTTCATGCACCCTCACTGGCTAAGAGACAGGACATTAGTTTTGCAAGACAAACTCCCCTGCTGCCAAGGAACATTTGTTTGCCTAGTGTTCAAGGCTCTTCTCGCTCTCACAGCATCGCTACTTGCCCCTGGGCACTGTTTGGATTTTAGATGCTGGAGTGGGAGAGAAGGATGTAGGCAGAAGTCGAAGGAAGACTGAAACCAAACAAACGCCTGCTAGAGAGAGCCATCCATCAGCACTGTTCTCTCAAGCAATTGCCTCTGGCAGGATTTGTTCCTTATACCAGCAGGCTGGAAAATATGATAGGATTTTACTGCCTCATCAGGGGCGAAGATCACAGTTCGGGAATTTATCCTTTTATCTTCCTGGAGACAACAAAGCCTGCCTCAATTCACAAGCACTTTCTGCTGCTTTCTCAAGTGTCCCCTCCAGCCAAGATTAGTGTCACTTGAGAAAAGAGCAAGCAGTGAGTCCTGCTTCCCTGCAGAAGGAGGCCACAAGCTGCCAAGCGAGCCTACTTACAGCAACAGCCCCATGGTACAGACACAGCAGCTGCTCAGAGGGCAAAGGTTTCACAGGAAGCACCAAAAATGAAAAATCCTATGCTTTTTATTGCAGGTTCAGTGTGAGTTTTGGAAAGCACAGTCGTGTTAGAGGCAGATATTGTTCCAACTTCCCTTCCTCACGAGAGACTGCCACAATTTATCAACTCCAGAAAGTGTGCCTAGCTTCGCAGTGCAGACAAGCGTTCAAGTGAGGACCTAGATCCTCATGTGACTTGCCATTGAAGCACGATAATGATCCAAGGCTCACAAAATGAAAAGGCCAGCACATTAACTAGAATCTCTTGCCCTGCTGAGAGCTACATAAGAACTTGTTGCCGACCCCTAGAAACGAGGATACGACCAGCCCTTTGAACGGGTTGCCCTGAGCTGCCCTTTCTGGATGTTCCGCTAACCTGGTTTTGATGAAAGCACTTGCTATGCCGTATAAGGGATTCGAGGCCTCTAAATTGGCAAGGGTCTGAGCCGCTGATTAGCTCTGCCAGCAGCAAGCAGTCTAGCTTAGCTGCCTAAATGAAGCATTCCCTTCTGGGCTCTCTCAGGCAAGTCATAGACAGAAACAGAAACCCAAATGCTGTTTCCTCCCGCTGTTCACATACAGTGATGAACATTCCCCACTCCTCTCTTATAAGCTGACAGTTATTTTCCTTTGCGTTTTTTTGTTTGTTTTTTAGAGGGCAAGAGAAAATACTACAAAAAAAATTAAAGGAACTTAAAAATTCAAAGCTTCCTCATGTCTTTATCCTCCCCATTGCCAGTGGCCTCTTCTGTTCACCTATAAAGTGCTGGTCAGGTTGTTTTCTTTCTGTTGGATCTAATGGCTCAAGTCCCTGAAACACTTCACTCTCCCTACAAGGATAAACAATTGTGTTATGTCTATTATTTATGGTATTGCCTTTTCATGCATATTTCCTTCTCTCATGGAAGCCAGGACAGGGGCAGCGTCAGAACTAGTCATCAACAGTGATGTTGCGAAAGAGATAGGCCATGGACTCCCCGTTGTGGATTCGTCGGATGGCTTCAGAGAGGATCAAACTGATATCCACAGTCTTTATCTTGGGGCACTGCAGCTTCTGTACCTCATGAGGAACTGTGTTGGTTACCACCACCTACAGATTGCCAGAAAGAAAAGAGCATTAGTTGTGTTTCGTCCTCATTTAATAGCTGCCCAAGATTAATTCCACAGACGATGTGTATCTGGTGTTTTGCAGTTCAGGGCGAGGGTGAGAAATCCTTTTGTGTTAGAAGAAAGATTAAACACAAAGGGTCTCCCCAGTGGCTTTAAATCCGTTCAAAGGACTGACAGAACCAACACCCTACAAGAGCTACCTCCACATGGGCTGACGGGTCCGTTTAGGTCACAGGATCCGACATGTTTGTTAGTAAAGTTTGTTACTAAGGACGAGGTTTGGAATCTAATTCTAATAAGGTACCAAACAGTCCATCATCAGATGGGGGAGAGAGACAGGTAGAAGACCTGTATTGTGAGAAAGCAGTCACATGCACTCAGCTGTGGCAAGGGAAGCATCCAGGCAGGGATGACTAATATCTGTGTGCATCAGGGAGAAAACGTACAGAGGAGCAGATCCAATCTGAACAAGTATTAATCACACCCTGGTTTTATGAAGAACCAGCTAACTGAAAGCGTTGGATGAAACCAGTCATTTCACAGAGATGAGCTACGAGTAGAGCAGGGGGGAAACCTCAGTTTCCAGCCAGAACAGCTCATGCCTTAAACCAAGCCAGCCATCAGAGCCAGCCCTTCCTCCTCTCTCCAAAAAGCAGACGCACCTCATCGATGGAGGATTCCTCTATTAGGCGGGGGGCATCTGCAGACAGGAGCCCATGAGTAGCCATCACAAATATCTTATAGGCTCCTCGCTCTTTCAGGATCTCTGCAGCAGCTACAAAGCTCTCCACATCATCGATGATGTCATCCTGAGAAGAGACAGGAATAGCATCAGAACTAGCAATACACCATGCCTGCAGGGCAGGAGTGCATCTGCGAGGGATTGTGGTTGTGGCCATGCAGGCAACAGGAAAAAGAAAAAAAAAGAAAAAAAAAAAAAAAAAAAAAAAAAAAAAAAAAAAAAAAAAAAAAAAAAAAAAAAAAAAAAAAAAAAAAGGACCTGGCTACCTCAGGTGCTGTTGAGATGCAAGAAACAGTGGCATGCACAAGCTAAGTCTGCGAATGCCTTTTCACTTATTTACAGACCTTTCTCTAGCGCACAACACAAAGATATTGTCTCTTGGAAGCTACTTAGTCCCAGCACATACACACACACAAACGGAGCTTATCTTCAGCAAGGCACTTCTTTGGTGATAATAGCTGCACGTCGACCACTTACACTGCAGCATGCCAGAGTATAAGAACCTCAGCAAAATTTTTACACTCAGGGTATTTCTCTGCATGTCCTGGATTTGCTGAATATTTGTAGATTCAAGGGGGCAAGGAGATTTTGGGATTTACAGGGACAAAGCGTGAAGAGTTTTCAACAGGAAGTTGAAATATTCCGCCAGAGTCACCAGCAAAAGTGGCGAAAACAGAGACAACAATCATGTTCCCACCCCACCCCAGCAGTCCTAACTACCCTTTGGAATAAAGCAATTACAAGGAAAGATGCTCGGAGAAAGCCCCCCCCACCCACTCCTCTCCGTCACACTCATACCACAATGATGGCAATTCTTCCTCCAACGTCTCCAACCACAGTTATTGGAGGTTTCTCCTTGGCCATCATCACTAAAGCAAAAAAGAAAAAGCAGGTCAGTTAGCCTTCACTCAAACCGGGACAACTCCACTGTACAAGAGGCCAGCCCTTTCCTAACTGAGCCTTCTACTGATGCACAGACAAAGATGCGTGCACTGCACTATCCTGACATGCACCCAAGTGGGTAAATGCTGTCTTAACCATCATTTTCCTTCTTAAATGAGCAGCACTGCAGCTTTAAAATGTAGCTCTCTGTTTCTCCAGTACTGACCCCAGAGGCAGCAAGCAGACCCAACACCTAGGAGCCCCCTATGCAAGAGGTGCTACAACGCAGCACCTAATCTAAGTGAAACGTCAGTGGCTCTTTACCTTTGTCGTTGGGCTCCAAAACTGGACTTGAAACAAGGGGTGTCCCATCGTTGGGAACAATAAATAGGCTTCTCTCTGCAACACTTCTCAAAGGGCTTGTGCTTTACAAGATGCAGTTTTTTCCACTGCACCTGAGTGCTGGCCTCACTAAATCACGTGAATGATTTGAGACTCGGACTACAGCTTGCTCGCTTTCTCTCATATCAGGAAACGCACAAGGATCTTTCAGAGCACGTAAGACCCTTACTAGTGTCTGCGCAGACAACTAACACTTCAGGGAGATTGCAGAAGCAAAGTTTGCTGGGATATTTTGAAGTGCATTAGTGCAAAGGAGCAAGAAAAAATCCACTTTAAACTCAGTGCTACAAGCTCAACACGACTAGCAATTAGAGGCAGAAGTACACGGCAATGAACTGTGCTAGCTGACACACAGTAAAGAGATCTACTGGGAATTCCACTCCCAACTGTATTTTTGCACTGACGTGGGTCATGCAAAAACTACATGTGTAACAAGCTTCATTTATACTATGGGAAAACAGCAGCGGTATGGAAAAAATGGAGACCAATGAGGATGTACTGAGAGTGTTCGGATGTGACGGCGTTCAGACCCCTGCCAAACAGCAGTCAGTCTGTGATACCGGACAGGGGATGGCTGTCAATAAGCCAAGCCTCTCACTTGCCAGAGCGTGCTAGCTCATAAAGTGAACACGGTACAAAATCTCCCAGCAAGGAAAAGATAGAGTGGTGGGTATATGCATTTCATCAGGTGATAATCTGGGCTGCACTTACCACTGAACTGAAGGGAAACAGCTAACATTTTGTAATGCTTGCCGGGTACACCTGCATCCCCCGACTTTTACGGTGTCTACAGAGAGTGCAGCAAAGTGTCCCACTGCGGCACTTTGCACCTCTCCTCCTCCTAAGTTCAGGGCCTGCCAGGATTCTGGACACAAACGCTTCCCAAACGCTGAGGAATTCTGGATGTGCAGGGTAGTAAGATTTTTCTCCCTATAATACTCGAGCAGCATGAAATTACATGCCATTGCCCAGCAAAAAGCATGTCTGAACGTTGATTTCAGCCCTCCTGGGTCACCAGAGTCCGGCATGAAACTCCCCATCCTGCACAGCAGGCTGGTCCAGTACTACTCCTGCAACTCATCGGTGGCTGGGAATGCCTATAGTCCAAGCACAGCTGGGTAAGTGAGTCACACTGAGGGATACGATGAGCGCGATTACAAGGACCACAGCTCCAAGGATTCATGTACAGTGCTGTTCTTCATATCCAAGGCATGCCCCACACACTGCTTTTCCTTAAGCCTACCAACATTTTATTAAAGGCATTCAATAGTTCTGTTTGGAACAAAATTAAGTTCCAGAGTGCTAGATTTTGTGGTTAAAACTACAGCAATAGTGAACAGATCTTAAGGAGTAGAAATTCAACGCTATTTTACTGACAAACACATGAATTTTCACTGCATGGATATCCTTATATTCCATAAAGGACAGAGACACATTCCTTACTATGCTCAAAGGCTAACACACCAGCTACCACCATTAGCAGTGCTTTGCATCTTTTCTCTGCTTTTAAACGCTGTATTTCAAGGTTCCTTTATATTTAAAGTATGGTAGGCAACACTTCGACCTACCCGGATCCTAAAGAGATGTTCTCCCTTTTTCGTGTTCAATTTTCTCTGTAAAGAAAAGAAAAAAAAACTGCAAGCCAAAAATCTACCCAAAACCACATCAAAACGCAAGAGAACTTTGATCACTCCAATGTGATGAAAGCTTATGCAAGCGTTACTGAGGCCGGCTTCTCTTCCTTCAGAATCTTTGGTCATATTGATATGTGCAAGTCAGAACAGCTAGCAGAAGGTGGCTTGAAAAATGACTCAAAATAATAAAACAGCATTTTCCTCCCAGACACACACCCTCTATTTACATGTAGGCAAGAGGGCAACAAAAATAAGCCACAGCTGAATTTCTGCCTGGCATAACCCCTTGGATTATGAAAGAGCTTAGGTCAAAAGAGTTGCCTGTTTTTCGGAGAGTCAGAAAATATGCTCATGGTATTTGCAGCTTAAAACACAAAAGAATAACCATCATTTTCACAAAACAAGAACATCACAGAACACTGTGGAGAAAAAAAATAAGCTTATCAGCAAAACACCCTAAACTGTGCTTTCACTCTGGTGCAAGTGATGCACACCAGGTATCGTGCATTAAAGGTTAGAAGACCACTGGCATGAAGAAACAGCATTCCCAAGTGCTTTACCTGTTGCTTTAATTAAGTGGTCAAAATGGGTTAAGGAATGCTTAAATAACTTAAGGGCTGACAGTTACCACTGTGTGCATTAAAATTAAAGTCACCAAGTAAAATAACGCTGCATTTACAACAGAGCCTATGAGCAACAAAACACTCAAGGACTAACTTTTATGCAAAGAGATAGCTCAAGAAGGACAGATAATGCCTGTAAGCCCCGGCCTAAACACAGAAAAAGAGATGAGGGCAGGGAAGTAGAAACAGACCTAAGGTCATTTCCAGTTTTCAGCTCCCTTCCTTTATGGCAGTTTGCTGTGCCCGGGTTTAAAGGGGACCATTACCTATCTGTATAAAGTACTGAATGTTAAAGCTACCAAAATGATTTAGCAGATGGTGCTCCAGGAAAAGGAGGCACGCAAAGGGTCCACACACGTTTGTTAAGGCACAGCCCAAAGCCAGCTGCAAGCTCGGAGACACAAAACAGCATACAATGAAAGAAAATAGCCTTGGAGCGAATCCTGTCTCAAAGGCTCCGATTTCTGATTGTTGAGTGATGTGAAGTGTTGCTGCCTTTTCAGCACAGCACTTTAAGAGGAGCAATCAGAAGCACCTTTGGCATTTTTCTGTGCCACTAAATCAGAGCATCATATAGACCACGTTACCAGGACAATAAGCAAGCCAATACACTGCATAACACTCATTAGTTAAAGGCACATGATCCTTGCTAGAATAGTGAGAAAAGGTGCATGCCAGCACACAGGGGCCCTGCCAACACACTAGGAAGCCCCTGAAGAATTGCATAAACCAGAAGAAGTCATTGCTGCAGGGCTCCGGTTCTGCTCCCAGGCATGTCTTTCGCCTCCCTTCTGACTGTAACCCTACCACTGGGGACCCCAAAACTGCTGCTTCTTAGACAGGGAGGATGCTCCAAACCAATCCGTACAAAGCCCAGAAGTAAGGAAGCGCACAGCTTGGGGTTAGCAGCGTGTGCTCCGCTCTTCACAAACAACGACGTGGTGGCTTTGCTGGATCCTGCGTTACTCTGTCATCAAACCTTATAAAATGGAGACTGCTGGCGATGGCGCACAGGCAGAAAGAGCTGATCAAGGGTTTCGTTTGAAGCGCCACTGGGGGTAGGAAACGTCTCTACTTGTCAAATGATTGAATCAGAGAGAAAGGGAGGAATAACAGAAAGGACAAGCGCAGGCATTCACAACACTGCCATCCTTAAGCCTAGTGGCATTTTTACCTCTGTCTGATGGAGAGCACATCCGCGACAGTCTGCAATACAACCACAATTCTCTAGATGTTTACAGACTGCTTTTAAATAGGTATTGCTCTGGTATTCTGTAGCTCCAGTAACAGCCCAGCACCCATGCAAAACAAGCTACCTATTAAGGTTAGAAAACTGGAGAGAGAAGCAAGTTTCTACAGAGAATTTTTGGACAATCTCACCCCATAATCCACCCCACATCTCCTCCCTGATAGACAGCCACCAAGCAACAGTTTGATTGTTTTACATTTGAGTCTTAAGTATGCAAAAATGCAAGGTCAAATGTTGAGCTTCTGCAGGAGATAAAGAAAGAAAGTGATGATACACAGCAAATTAGTTTGTGTCTGGGTAGCTGAGGACTGAAAACATTTTTCCACCAAAATCCTAACTAAATCAGAAAGGGCAGACTCCGCTATGAGCTTCCATTTACGGGGCTCTCCAGCAGCACAAGCTCCCCCAACTGAGCTTCCTTGAAGTGACATGCCTGGAAATAAAGCCACAGTCATGTCAATGCCCTGATACCAGATAAGTCTCAGCTAATGATACTTTGGAGGACAGGATTCTCTTCAGACTGAAGTGACAAGGAAAGGACAAGAATAACCTGGTAAATTCCTGTTTTGTTGGAAGTACATAAAGAAAACCCCTTGTGAGAAGGAGGGTAATAACAGTAAGCCCCCAACTCGTTGCCAAACTCCACCCGCCCCCCAAGGCCCAAGATGAATTTGCCCAGCCGTGAAAGCACTGTTTAAACGATTTAATTATAGTGAGCAATAACTTGGGTAATGTAAAATGACTGCAGTCTTACTTGCCTTCCCCATAACTTGCCCACAAGCTGGTTGGATGTTCTCTCTGAACTTCGAAATACAAGAGAAGCTGTTTCTAGGTAGCCCTAGCCACAGCCAGTATAATTAAATTTAGCTGCATGATGGATAGCTCCTTATCATGTGCAGCAGCATGCTACATTTCCCACAGTCAGGTCTCAGCCATGCTCACTGCACCCATAATCCACTTTTGTCCTACCACCATTTACCTAGAAAGCTAAAGATTTCCCAAGGGGGAGGGTGGATTTTGACTGTACTGTTGCTGTTTGACTGCTGCTGTTGCAAGAACACAAGCGATTCTAAGAGGGTGGCGTTTCCCAGAATACAGGTTTCCTCCATTTTAATTTGCTCCGTGCTCCCCCATCAGCAGTTTATCTACTGATGGCAAGAGTACAAAAGTGCAACAGCGCCCTCAGAGACCCTATTCACGCTAGCCACACAAACCTTTCAAATACTCACAATGACTGCGGCACGAGGGGAAAACAAGGGCCAGCTCTGCCCTCCAAGCTGGGGACAGCATCCTGACTCAGTGGTTGTTCCCTTGCTAGTTAACACTTCTACATTTCCTTGCCGTTTCATTAGCTCAATGAGTTTTAGTACTGAGCACTTTAAAAGCACTGCCTCTAGCAGCGGTTTGTCAGAGTCCTACACTGTTGAGCAGGCACAGCAAGGGGAACAACACTGATGCTCCATGTTGCCAAAAGGAGTTAAATAAAAATCACTCTTCATACCTTCCCCTACAACTCACTAACATTGGCTTTGCCCAAGGGAAAAACTGCACCGGTCCAACTGCTATCAGGTTGGTTATACATCTGTATAGCTAAACCAATGGCAAATTCACATCAAACTTCTCCTGATAGCCCAAAGATAAGCAGAGAAACTTAATCTTACATGGCAACTCCAGACCAGGATGCACAGTTGCGTTTTTGACCATCGGGGGGGAGTGACGACCATCATCCATGTCCTGTTCTGTACACTGAGCCTCTCCGTGTATCACTGCTAGTCCCAGCCGCAATCTCTCAGCGTAAGACTGAGCCCTGCAGGACAACCACAGCATGTCAGGAAGACGTTGGGCAAAAGCAACTTTACAGTCTGGTGGAGCAGTCCTCTCAAATCCAGCAGGGTAATCAAAAACTGCCCCTCTGTGGCTGTACAGGGGTTTCTCCCTGCGTAAGAAGTTCACCAAAAAGGGCTTTTATTCCTCTCTATATCCCAAAGCTCACTCTACCTCTCGGCTCCATCGCAGAGGTCTCCTGGTGTTCCTCTCTATGCTAAACGGTTTCTAATATGGTCAGGTACTACTGGAACTCAGGCAACAAGCCTGACCCTAACAGTCAGGTGAATCACCCTACTCTGCAGCAGCAGCAAACTGCAGTTTACTCCCACAGGGTTGGGACTGCAAAATTCAGCCACCCACCTGCAGGACTAGGGATGCCATTCCACTTTACAGCCACAAACGACTTATGGACCTGATTCCTGATCCATCTGGGACCCCCTCCGCATTTTTGCTGGCATACACACCACCAACCCAGACCTTTCCCAAGTTATACTTAACCAGCTGGTAAAGGAATCTATTTACCTTTTAGCTGCATCAGGAGATTTGGCTACAATAACTGCATTCCTGTAATCTGGAATCTAGATTCAATAAAAAAGTTACTTAAGTAATGAGCTTCTTGCTAGTCAGTAAGTGACACATGGCTGAAGAACTGCATCCCCATTTCCCCTTCCCCCCCACCCAACTCTTAATTCTATGGTAAGAAATTGGCAGACAATAGCACTCCTGTGCTGAACCAGCATTTATAGATTCTGCCTCAAATGCCAATACAAATAAGCTTAATACTGACAATACTGCCTATGACGTAATCGTTTCAGAGGTCCTGCTTTGCACACGATTACAGTTCTGTGCCTCCTTTCACTACTGGCATCCACATGCTATGGCCCAGCGTACAATGCTAAATGTAGCTGTTTCTGAGATACAGGGCACTGGACATACTGTAGGAAAGGAAGGGAAAGGTTTAGCGAATCACCCTGAAAGCCAAAGACTCCTAGTATCAACCCTGACTCTTATGGCGATGCTGAGTCCCCAGGGCCCACACAGAGCAGGCATTAGCCTTACGCTCAAGAAGCTCAAAGGTGAGAAAATTCACTGTATTTCATCTGCCCTATGTGGACAGGCCACAGTTAGTGCTACCAGTATGGGAAGGTACTAGTCCAGAGCCAGGGCATATTCCTCAGGATATAAATCATAATCATTTGGACTTGGAAAACACAACCTCCATTCCCCCAACCCTTCTGTGCTCCACATTCCTAAGTGCAGCCCAGGACAAAGTCTCTGCCCATTATTCAGATCAGTCAGACATCCACCACACAACACGGAGTGAAGGGAGACAGTTTAACAGGATTTAAAAGGTGATTAGAGGTAGAAGCATAAATAGCATCTCAAATGGCACTAACACTACAGAGAACAATGAATTTCAATTGAGGGCTCGAGCTCATCTTCTGCTTATGAGCAAGAATTCAACTTCTACCCAAGCACACCATCTTACAATCTGATTTAATATAACATATTCCCACTTCCTTGAGAAATATACACAGATGCTCTGGAAGAAACAATTCACGGACTGAACAATTGATCTAGCCTCACAGTGCAATTTTTGTTTAAGCGCAGGTCCAACACCACTATCGTATTAAGTCAGGTACACGTTAGGACAAGCCAATATATACAGAACTAGAGTAACCTCACTTCTTCCTGTATATATTGAAGCAGGAAAGGGGAGGCTCTCAGGTTGTCTACTGGAAAGCTGAAGAAGCCTTGGATTTCCTTTTGATGAAGGTCCATTGTGATAATGTGCGTTAAACCTAAGCAAAAAAAGATACCAATTCATTAAGGAGCCCACCACGTGGCTGGATTTCCTTGAACGTCTCAATTTTCCAGATTATTTTATCTATTAGCCAGACTACTACATCATGCATTAGCCACAAGCATAGAGAGGTAGACTAAAAAGAATTAAAGACATTAGAAAAAACAGGCATGCAATAGGAGTCGCACACTAGACTGACAGCATGTTTCAACGTGACACTTCCAGGCCACTACATCAGGTAAGAGTTACAAAGAAATAAAAACTAGGTGAAGAAAATCAGTTCCCTCAAAGTGGCTCAGGTGCTTGGCAGTAAGTCCCCACATCTAACAGGAGAAGAACCAAAGGACAGACACCTTCTGGGATGCACGGCAGCTGGATGCCTTGTGGAAACCAAGCTTGCCGTCCTGCTCCCTGTATGACGCTCACCTGCCTTGGCTAGCATCGAAGCCAGCAGTTTGCAGACAATAGAGCCCCTCTTCCTCATTTTGCTCTGTTTGCTGTAGGGGAAGTAAGGGATGACCCCAATGATGTTCCTGGCACAGGAAGTCTTCAGTGCATAAGCCATTATCAGCAGCTCCATTACAGCAGTATTCACATCTCTACAAGATTCAAAAACCATTCCAAATATTAGTAAAGAGTTTTTCAATATGAGGCCTATACTCATTCACCATATATATACACCATTCACCATATATATATATCCCATATATACCATTCTCACCAAACTTCCAGGCCAAAGAACACATACATTAGCATAAGCTACTGCAAAACCTGGATTGTAACCCTACAGCTCCTTCTGCTATGCCACAACACATTACAATCAACTATTATTTGCACAGGACGTGACCCCAGCACTCAAGAGCTGTGGATCAAAATTTGATTTTGTATTCTAGCATGAGGATTACGATGATTTCCCCCCTTAACCACAAAAAAGGCATTTTTTGTTATGTCGGAACAAATATCACTTCTTACAGTATATTTTAAAATAAAACAATCTTTTAACGAAGAAGCGTCACACATACAACCAACATGACTTCATCCACGTTAGATTTACTGGGATATTTCTAACAACTCAAGGCAAATTTTCCTGGTTTAAGTAGTACTGTATTCTGGAGCTGTAAAGTATAGGCACATCATTTTGGTGGAGTTCAGCATTTTCATGCTACCTACCTTATCCAGAGATGGAAGGAACAACAGCACACTAAACTCCAAACAACTTTTACTTGGAAGGGAGGGTGAAGGGGAGGGGAAAAAAAGCAACATAGGAGGAAACACATATACAAATCACAGCAAGGAATACGTGTAAACCAACTGAAGATGGAGTTTATTATAGTATGATGACTGGTATGCCTCACTAGAAATGTATTAATCTGCATTTGTATTCATTTTGGGAAGGGAAGAGAGGCCAAACTTTTAGTTTCTTAAAACCAACATCAAAGGGAGGCCTGAATTCCACACGTAATCTGTGCTATCAACAAACTGACTCAAGGCCATTTTGAACCTTAAGAGCACGCACTCCAGAGAGGACAGAAGAATGTGCAACACTCCCAGAACGACGACGTCTTTGCTTGGGTTATTTCAGCAAAGACCATCTCAAACAACACATCAGTTCCCCAGACTGGTACGCAGGTGGGGTTATTATGCCGAGGATGGCTCAGCGGCACAGTCACAAGGTGACAGAGCAGAACAGGCCATCTTTCCACGTGGCAGCAGAGAACAACACACCGAGCAGCTTGAAGCTCTGCAGAGCTTTTTGGAAGTTACTCAGGCATCACCCTGGGACCCGTTTTCCTCCTGATCACCTGGCCTGGCTTCCCTGAGAACGCAGAGATAGAGTTTCCCGAGCCTTTTTGTACAATACATGACAAGCTCCGACCGTTGCCATTTCTCCATCGCTCCCCCTTCCTTTGGGAATTAACCTCCATTTGTGTCTCTTCATTTGTGAATGCTCCGAGCCTCTTTATTCGCCGGCTGGCTCCATCGGCCCTCGTGCACAATGCCGTTCGTACACAAGAAAGCTTTGTTTGTTCTGAAGCACCCAGCCAAGAATTACATAAAACATATAACCCCCCGCCACGTAGGACAACAAGCTAACAAAGACCCATTTCTTCCCTTTGGTGTTTTAGCCGTGCCAGTGTGGCTGGGAGAAAAGAAAAAGATGCTAGTAGCGGTATTGTATGAAAACAAAGCAGCCAATTTTGAGCCCATTTAAAGGTCATCCTAGAAGTTCAATGTTTAATGTCATCGCTTCTCAAATTACTTAAAACAAGAATTCACAGGTAAAACAGATACAGAATATGACTGCTCCTGGAAGAAGGGGTTACCACTGATTTCAAAAGATACCGACAGGCTTGATGCTGCTGTGGGATTCTGGGAGCCCCATCCCCACGCACCACAGCAATGGAGAGGCTACACGAGGAGGAGTCATCCCTCTCACAATATTCAAACAGGACGCCACACCGGACGCAGGAAAACTCCTGAAAACCAGCTGGCACAGACACTAAATAGAGCCTGCCCCTGCAGCAGCACCCACGGCGCTCACCAGGGCTGCACAAGGGCAGGTCGGCTGGAGTTGGGCAGATCTGGACCCTCCTGGATGCTTTGCATGGGGCCAGCTGGCATGCTGATCTGATCCTCAGGCCTCTGCAAGGGGCACTGACCCAAATCCAGGGCCAGGCTCAGAGTGGGGACTAATTGGGGAAAATAATGTCTGCGGCAGAACCCCAGCCATGGCACCTCCTAAGATGAATACCCAGGACAGCAGCTCTGTCTCCTTACTGCTCTCTCCTCCTCCTTTCTTGCAGCAGTGCTCACAAGCTGCTTCTGGAAGGCCTGAGTCAAAACTGCACATGGGCACTGTCAGCTCATTACCACGGCCTTTAGAGCCAGCTCAGCTATCCTCCATCCCCCATTTACCATCCTTCTCCAGCAGGCTGAAGCCCTCCCTCGCTGCTCCCCACCTTTGCCTAATTCATCCCTGCACAACTGTATCCTCATGGCTGAGCAACTGGCTCAGTGAAGCCACCAATCCACTGCGCAACAACTACCAACAGGTCTAGCACCAAAAGTCTTTTAACTTCTAGTGTCGCACTAAACCATCAACTCCTCCATTTTTCTACTTTACAGAATAGTCCAATAACTGCGTTAATACCAAGCTGTGTGTTTAACACATGCAGGGACATTAAAATGGTTGTGGTCAGCCTGATCCTGCATCCTGTGCTTTTGACAGTGACCAAAAAGCTGCCTAGCAAAGAGCACAGAGTGAGGATACAGCAACGCCTCTCCCAAACACTCTCCCAGCTTCCTGCAGTTTGCCGCTCAGGGACCTCTTGAGACAGCAATGCTCTTTTTGTACTTAACACTCCTTGATCTATTCCCCCCGCCAAGAATTTGCCTAAGGCTTTTTGATCCTCCATAAACTCTTAGCAAAGTTAGTGCCCTGCAGCAAGGAGTTCCTGAGGTCAAAGATGCATGGGAAGATGTACCTCCTTTTGCTTCTTTTGGACCTGACACCTGCTAGTTTTGTTTAGCATATCGCTGTTCTCACAGACCATTACCTCTACGACTGCTTCTCCCAAAGACACTCATGATTCTGAAGACCTCTAGCATACCATCCCCTAGCCTCTCTTTCCCAGTTTAAACAGCACAAAACTACTCAGTTTTTCCTCATACAAATGCTATTCTATACAGCAGCAGTGCAGGATGATACCTGTCACTGTAACTGTTTCAGTTTTGCTATGTACCCTTTGGACTTCAAGCTTGTAGCATGTATTCAGGTCTTTCTGCTTCCTCCCTGTGCATTTAAGATGCAGACTGTGGATCTGCACTGCAGCGTAACAAGGTTGTTTTATTCTCTATTCCTTTCCTAATAAGTCCTAATATTCTACTGGCTTTTTGAACTGCTACTGAGTGCAGAAATCGTATTTTCAGAGGACCCTGGCTTGACAAACAAATAATCCAAAACAGTTCCTCTTTTTACTCTCCTGCAAGGTCCCTGAAACCCAATGCAAAAAAATGGAGATGTCCTTGAACCTGTCTTCTCTAAGCAATGCAGCAAGGCGCAGCTGCAGCTGAAGAATAAAAGATTACTTGCCTACACAACAGTAGCTGCTCATCTGGAGGGCTCAAACCCTTAAACATTTTTGCTAAAGGATTGCCTGCAACATTTGGTTCAGTTTGTGGAAAACCAAGGAGATCAAGAAGTCGAGAGCAGAGGAGGTTTTCCCCTTCCAAAACTATCGCCGGTCCCTAATATTCCAAGTTACTGCTCTTTGAAATATCTTATCTGTTACATGTAACCAGGAAGTTACGAGTTATTTCAGAGAACTCTCACAAGGGACAACAGGATGGCACCATTCACCTGAAACACAATCCTGCAATACAGGGTTTTCACCTGGCAGAGATTTACTAGCTTCCTGTGGGAAGCAACACTTGAAGCCTCTCCCCGGAGAGAGATGAGTTCTAGGAAAATGTCTCAGCTTTCAAGAGGAACTCTAGAAGTGAGCAAGCTGATCTTGAAGCCTTATTGATTTCCTTATCAACAGGCCAAGCATTACAAAGAGCAACTGAACTTACAATTCTCATTGGGCTGTATTTCTCGGGCAAGCCAAGAAAATTTCTGTCTCCAGTATATTTTTCTACCTGCTCGGGCTCTGATGCATATTAACTAGTTTTTGTGACCTCCACAATTTGAGTAGAATTTGCTAACTTGGAAAAGGCTGTCAGGGCATAAATATCTTTGTTTAGCTAACTGAACAAACTGCACCCCATCACTCCCTCATCTTTGAAAACCAAATCTCCCCTACTTGCAGTTTGAAAACCAAATCTCCCCTACTTGCAGTTGGTAAACCAAATCTCCCCTACTTGCAGTTGGTGATTTTGCAGTACTATTTGTATATAGGCTTCCCCTGCACTTCCCACTGACTTGCACGGACCACTTGGCCAGAACTCAAGAAAAAAAAAAAAAAAAATCTCTCCATGCTCCGAACTCAGCTCTCCAATTCTAACACAATCCCTCTAAGCTGGCCCTCAGCCAGCGATAAGCAAAGCTCCCAGGGGCTGGCAGGTGGTTTTCTAGCCCTCTGGTTACTTGCAGCACTTCTTTTCTGCCTTACTCCAGGGCTAAAACAGCTGAAACCAAAAACAAACAGGCCCACATAAGAAAAGGCACAACATTATTAAGAATTATAAGAGTATGGGAAGGAAGCTAAGGGCTTCCTCATGACTTCAGTTTCACATTGCTACAATCAAGGGGAGAGTAATCAAACCTGCAATGAAAGCAACAGCTGCTGGTTGCTGCTGGCTCTACTGCTCGATAATTGGAAAGCAGAGAAATTACACGTCCTGAGATGGAAGTGCCAGTCAAAAATCACCAAGCAACTGAACCTGCAAGGACATCAACACACAGACCAGGGACATTTCACTTAAAGCCATTGGTCATACTTGTGCTTGTCTGCGGTGACACGCTTGAGCTATTTGATGGGTAGCTTCTCAGCTTGCTGTGGTGCAAAGCAACCTTCTGGGAATTTTAACAACTGAACACTACGCCATATCTTAAGAGTAAGTCAAAGCAACGACAACTATGGAGAGAGACACACTATCATGGTGGCTAACAGGGTCAGAACAACCTTCTGAACCAGAAATTCAAAGCATACCATAACTGTAAAATTAAGCCACGGGTCACTTACCTGGGGATCGTCTGTATAATGAAGATATCTTGCCCCCGGACAGATTCCTTTATTTCAACTCTTGTTTCTGAAGGGTAGAAAACAATTAGTTTTATTCCCAAATGTCAGATTTAAATTGATAACGCACCATATTTTAACAACAACTTTGCCCACCAGTCAGGGAAGAACGCAAGACTTGTCCTTCACCCTATGTGTACACCCATCCACTACGCATCAAACGAGACAAACAGATTTTCTAGAAGGCGGGCCCTGTGAAGCAAGGAGCTGGCATTACGTATCAGTGAGTGAGTTGTATTTACAATGCAGAATGGGGCTGAATAGCTGTTGTCTTACATGCAGAAGACAATTACTTCACTTTCAGTAAGGGTAAATCCACGCCAAGATCTTTTTCATTTCTCTGTGCTGGGTGCTGAAAGCTGTTGATACCACATTCATTAGTGAACAATGAACCACTGGAAGCAGAACAGCCTCTAGTACCTACTGAGAAGGGAAGCTGGCTCCTTTGTACCTTACCATGCAGTCAGCTCCATACACGTCCAATAGCCCAACACAGTATCAGCAGTACAGAGTTCAAAGAGAGAACTCCTCCACTTTGCTACCACGGTCAAGATATTTCATCACTGACGTGGCTGGAAATCTAAGTCTCCAATGAACATGCCTCACACTGCCTCTTACTCAAACCTAAAAGCCAGGAGCAGCTCTGCAATGCCAAGGTTTCCCGGGCTGCCTTTCTAGCCGCTCATTTCCCATGCCGTCATATACGATGGGCAGGGATAAGTGGAAGGAGAAAAAGATCTACTAGGCTACAGAATTCAATGTCTAATTGTCTAGGCATTCACAATAACCTCAAGGGACTCTGCTGAAAGGAGACTGATTTGCTGTGCAGTGATGAAGAATGACTTCAGACCTCGAAGCAAGTGACCTGATTTAAAACTAACCCCAAAGGGCACAAAGCTAGCACGAATGCAGCAGCCAGTCCAGTCATAACCATAAGCTCCCACGGCAGCATACACAGAGCATGGCCCACTGTGACTTTAATAGCAACAGCATTATCAAAATCCCTCACGATGAACCCAGCACTGTAATGAGACCCCCCCCCCATAGCCCATACATGCCCAGCAAGAGGAACAGAAAAGCCACGTGCACGACCCAGAGTCTTGCTGCTGATATACAAAACACTCAATATCTCAAGGTTGAAGTACTTATAGATTGTCTACTCGTCTTGCATCGAGGAGGCGAGGCCAACTCAGTGGCTCTTGTCTGATCAGCAAGGCGCATTTGGTGGCAACAGGATCTCAGCGGAAGAATAACCAGTCCAGCATGTCCCTCTCCATTATCAAAAGGTTCCTGTTTCTATCACTTACTCTAACCTGTATCAGTTGTCTCTGCTTCTCATCTCTTTTGCAAATATGGTAATAGAGATCTTGAAATGGTAGATGACATTTAGCCACTGGACTCTGTTAGCCAATAACCTTGCGTTTTACATCTGAAAACAGGCACTTGCTACTTTTAAAGAGATGAAATGAACCTCCAAGAGGCACTCTCTCCAGTACATCCTTGAATTTGCACTCTTTAAAACAATAGCATTGTTAGGGAAACCGTAAAACTGCCTGTGGTGAGGGGACGTCTGGGAGAAGGGGATGATTTCCAGTTTGCAGGGCAAACATTTATAAAGCAGGCTGTTAGTTTTAAACCTAGAAGATCTTTCGCTAAGCACAACAGCATGTAAGACTTCGTAGCAGCTACTATTCGAGGTAGGAGTCTTTGTTTTAGATGAGAGTCAGCAGAGAGGCACGCAAACAAGATAACAGGGGAAAAGGAGGAACACATTTAATTGGTTTGTCCAAGGTCAGATGCAAAAGTCCAGCACTGCCAGAAGCAGCAGCAACATCACAGCTGAAGGCATAAAAATCCGTCTTGGTTTCTGTTAGCTCGTAACACATACTAGACAGGTTTGGCCAATGGAGCTACCCAGTATTTATAAAATTACCTCAGACAGGCCTGCAAGTAGTAAAGATTCATCTTACCTCCATTGGTTTCCTGGTATACCACAGATTTTCCCAACTCAGCACCAAGACGCCTGGAGAAAACAAAAGAAGTTGAAAATTGAAGTGAGCAGTTCACAATCCAAAGTAGAGACTGGACCAATTCTTATAGACTGGCAAAATACAAGCACTGCCTAACGGAGAGCTGAGTGCAGTAAACTGAGCTGCTGAGCTACAAGTCTCCTCCTTTCACAATAACCCTTTTCTCTCCAAGGTCCTTTGGGACACTTCAGCTGGACTGAGAGCAGTTTGCTTGCGTGCCCTCTGGCCAGTCACTACGCTCACGCTTTCTGCTCGACTACCTGGTCACACGCAACAGGTAACTCTCGCGTCCTGCCTGCTTTTTCATCTCTACGAGGCATTAACCTCTGCTCATCCCCTGTAACCTACCACCAGTCCCACGAATCAGGATGAACCCTGCAAAGCTTGGAGGAATAAGTTATCCCAAAGGCTCTTCTCCCTATCTGGCTGAGACCAGCAAAGGAAACCACATTTTATTAGAAAGGCAGCACAGTCAAGCATAGCAAGCCTGATTTTCTTCGGAAAAGAGGCTTAAAACATTCCAGTTATAATGGGCAAACAAAAACTGTTCGGAAGTCAAAGGCATTTGAGTACAACTCCTAATACCTAATTTCCAAGCTTTCCCAAACAAGCAAGTAGCTTACACGAATCATCAAGCATCCCTTCACAAACGCTGCCATCGTTCCCTTGCTACACTATTTGTTGATGTTACGGTTACACAGTGTGGCAGGCTGCTGAAGCGCTCCTAGGGCACGCTGTTCTGCGGCAGATTAATGACATACTAAAAATAGTCAGTTCTTTTATGATTTATCACAGGCCACATCTCTGGAGTTATGGCAAAGGACATCTTTTCTGGCCAAGATTATGCTCTAAGCAGCAACAGGACCGGAATTGAGCGGATACCTTTCAGCGCAAGCTGCGCACGCACGCCCTGTGACGGAGCCAGCGTGCCCGATCCAACTTGGGCAATGCTTTGCTGCAGTCCAAGTCAAGGCTATGCAATTGCACCCGAGGCAGATCTGTTGTACCGTGGAACTAAACATTAACGATCTACTAAGACCTGATTAACGGCAACTGAGTCACGTGTTTACTCCCCTCTCCCCTTTTTTAAATCCTTCTCCTAAGATAACTCAGCTGATTTAAGAGTTTAACTTTGAATTTTCTGATTTTTCATGTTACTCCTTCCTCTTCTCAAATGTCAACCAAGGACATTCATCACAAAGACTGCAGCCCTTCTCCCCCCCCCCCTTTTTTTTTTTTTTTTTAAGTTCTTCATTATGTAATAAAGATTAATTTTGAAAAGCATTTTAAAAGGCTCCACAAGGCAGATCGCTTCCACAGGTGACATTTCTGTATCTAACTGTTCTGACAAGTAACCCGTTACTAAATATTTAGAGGCAAGTGTGCTTTAACCAGAAGCCTCAGTTGAGAGACATTGCATGGATGAGACATAGGTGATAAGCGCGTTGCTGCAACTCAGCTGCCCAGAGCACAAGGCAAGTCCCTTCCTGGCTTCTGGGGTCTTTTCAGTGAACATGCCTACACACTGAATTATTCTACATGTCAATTATGGCAGTCATTTCTTGTCTGCACATATACTGTATTTACTTGGACACATGCAGAACTGTTGCGAATCAGGACTAACCCTAAATAAGGCCTATTTTGGCAAGAAGAGAATTACCCTTGTGTTTGTATCACACGCCTGCTCAGAATCATCTTTGGAAAGACCAGCGATCTTAAACCTAGAGGACACGTCACAGCTGACATCATCCCAAATTACCTTATCCTTACACTGCTGAAAGAGCTGCATTCCTCCTGCCTCCAGTCCAAACGTACCTGCCAGAGCTCTACAGAAAACAGACATGAATTTGAGGCCCCTTCATAAGCAATAATAAAACATTCTGGCCAGACATATTCATAGATGCAACACAAACATGTAACTGTTTTAAAGTCAACTTTACCCTCAAAATCTCCTGGTTTAAAACTTCATAGGGCAGGAACAGTAGTGGCATGTATACTTAGCTTGACGTCCTTATGCTTTCTGAAAGTATACTGACACTGCTAGGTCAGAAACAGCCCCTGGGCATTTTCAAAGGGGACCAGAGACTAAGGCACAGCTCCTCTACTCTTCTGCAAAGAGCAGCTTTGATTTTGAGCTGTCCCTGCACCAGGCACTCTCGGGAGTCCTCCTTGTTGTGCCCTTTGAAGGAGAACATCAAGCAACAAAAGTTGCTGCACTGTAGCAACTGTAGACAGATACACAACACCAATATCTGCTCGGGTTTTGCCACCCCCCACACTCAGCATCCCAGGGAGACAGCTACTGCAGTATATATATGCTCAGAGTACCTTACAGGCAGGTCTGACAGACTCATCCCATTTGGCAAGTGGGGAAGCTGAGGCAAAAACAGGTTAAACACCCCACCCTGGTATTCTTGCAAGGTACCTCCCTGCAGGGGGACCGGGAGGGGTGTTGAGATCTGAGCTGCAGGCCTGGGCCCCAGCCCATCGACCTGTTTTCTCATCATCAGGGCAAAAAGATGAAACACAGGTCCTTTTCCTAACTCCTTCCACAAGAGACGCGGAAGTCTGTGGCAGGCTTTCCCCACAGCCTGCCTCTTTCAGCAGTCAGTATCTCTCCACCTCCTTAGCCACAAACTCAGCCTCACACCTAAACTGTCACAAAGATTTGCTTTTTCAGGAGCAATGAACAGGTCAACGAGCAAGATGGCTCAACACTGGCATGCTGCTGGTCAGACACTAACTCCTGGACTTGGCTATCTAGAAGTTGGCCTGCAAAGCGTGCCTAGAATAACCGTGACAATGAATACTTGAATGCAACGATATATTTGCTTAACTGCTAAAAAGCACTTTATTGGCCCACACGCATTCTCTCAGCACTACCCCGATCGTGTACCTCAGCACGTGGCAAGCACATTGCGCCACAACTAGAGCTACTCCAGCTACTCTCCAGAGCTTGTGAGTAAACTTCTGAACCAAGAATCATGTGTGTGTTGCTGTCTGCATGCTCAGCTTGTGCCAGCCGAACTGCAGGCCCCTTGTTTTCACCAGGCTTCCTCAGCACTAACCAGCGTTACTTTGCTTGGCAGGTATCTGTTGCAATAGCCGTGTTTCCCTGCTAGCTGTCAGGCATCGTTCTGCTGAACAGTTCAACTGTCACTTAGATAAGGTTGTCACCTATGAACAAGCCACAGCGGCTGTAGAGGGACTTGCGGATGGGCAGGCTATGCTACGGCTTGCACGGAGCAGTAATCAGCCTGGCTCGGCCACTAACTGCAGCATCACCCAGATACTGTGCAGTCCAGCGTGCCACCCAAACTCTTAGTTCAGCATCTCTCACCAGTCCCGCTAAATTAGAACAGGTAACTGCAACACAAAGGCATCCTTAGTACCACCATTTCAAAAAGGAGCAGGCCGCTGGTCAAGCAAAACCAAGCTCCATGAACCCCAGGGACCAACTCACAGGCTGCATCATAGCAAAGGTGAGTTCTTCAGATGAGACCTGCAAAGTCCTCACTTCATCCCATGGCTCAATGGGATCACACTGTCTTTCTCATGACAGAGCCAGGCACTCAGACTCACTGATGTTTGGCCTAATTCCTGCCAAGGCATCCAACTCAAAAAGCTTGAGAATTTCATGCACAAAAAACGAAAAAGCGGGGAAGAAACGGTTAATGACTCAAACTTGTTCTTCCACGACTGCATGGCAACTCTTGCGAACTCACTTTGGAGGAACACGCATTCTGGCTTCACCGCAGGCAACATGCCCCGACTTCACCATTTGAAAAAAAAAAACTCCCCGTGAATGAGAGCGTACAGCTGCCCTTAGCCAGTCCTGGATCTCATGGCAGGACAGTGGCTATGGCAGGAGGGAAAGCTTCAAAACCAGTCCAGCTGGGCACATCTCAGCAAAACGCCCCTTGGAAGGTGGCACATTCAATGCTAAGTGGTGGAAGACAAACACAGCGGAGGTTTGAGATGCCTTGTGAGGACGTGACTGACAAGGTCCCAGCTATGCACAAGAAGAAACAGGAGCCCGATACGCTGCTGTCAGACAGCGCAGCAGCAACACGGTTTCTGTGCTACTGAAACAAGAAGCTGGAAAGGCAAGTTCGCTCCCTGACGGAAAGAGGGACACTAAACAGCTCAGCTTGTGGAACCTGGATACAGATAACAGCAGTAGAGATGCTAAGAAGCTGACAACTTAAAGAAATGAGTGGAGAACAGATTGCTCCGGTCAGGCAATAAATCCCAGGTCTGCACCGACTGTTGACTGCAAGTAAACAAGAGAGGCCGCAACGGGAAAGATATGAGATAAAAATTCCCATGTATGTCATACACCAATCCTGCCAGCAACGCTTTACAATCTTCCAAGCTGCAGGCAGGGCAGATAGAGCAACAGGCAGTTTCACCAAAGCGCTCTAAATCAGGTTAGGTATGTTTACCCAAGGAGCACACTCTCCACCAAATCCATTTCTGAAGGCTTTGTATAAGCCAAGACTTCAGCCTTTGCGGGATTCTGATAAAATCTTGATTTAGTCACGGCTATTAAAGAAGGGGGACTGTTTGTGCAACTCCTGTTCTAAAGTCCCGAATTCCACAGCACTTGTGTCAAAAAGAAGATTTGCATAGAAGTCAAGGGTAGAGCACAGCCTTAGCCATGAAACGGACTCTGAGCAACCATTTGTAACCAAGTACAGAGATAAATTCCTGCTTCCCATTGCCTCTCCCTTGCTTCCCTCCATCCCCAGCTCTTTTCTCTCTAAATTCTCCCCCTGCAAAAGCTCCCAGTTGCTCATCGCTTTAGGCATAGAGGAATTAAATTGATAGCAAGAACTATGTTTGCATTTGGCTTCAAAACTAAGAGCATAACAATATGAGAATCAGAATTACTGGATCAAATTGTCTGCAGACATGGGCAGATCTACACTAGAAATGGAAGAAAAAAAAAAAAAAAAAAAAAAGGCTGCTAGTACAGGCAATTCAGAGCATG